TTGAAAACCTTATCAACGAAAAGAGCTCCGCAATTCGTAGTGCTAATAATGTTTTGTTTATTTCTTGGTCTAAAACCAAAAATATCCCAAAAATACTAAGACAATTTTTGTTTTTTTTGGAATGAAAATACAAAGACAGTTGGGTTCATATAATATGGTCATTCCCCATTTGAAGTTTGCTTTCTATTCTAGGAGTTGGAAATGGTTATGGTCTATTTTTTTAGCCCTAGTTAAAATTTAAAACCTATTTTTCAAAACATGGGGACTTTAACGTAATTGTGGATCCTGTGGTAATGATTGTGGAATATATATTTAAAAAATAATAAATTATCTGTTTGTATTGAATCTATAGAAAATTTGTAGCTCAAAGTAATCTTGGATTGGATTTATATGTAGTTTTACAATATATGATGAAATAAATGATTATATTTGTGTGTGTTTGTGTATCTGGTTTAGATTATATTTGCTTAATGATTTTTAATTCATTTTGTCCTTTTTCTCTTGTTTATTTATTGTCTTTTGCGTATCAAATGCTAGTTTACTTATGAAATGCACACTATGTACACACACATACATATATGCGTTTTGTTCTAGACTATGTGTTTAATGAGTTGAATTATATGGCTTTTTTTTTTAGTTTTTAGTTTTAAGTTTTTTAAGCAAGCAACAAAAGCCTTTATATGTTGTTGGCATGCTAATGTGTGCCCCTACTATCAAACTCAAGTTTTGGCTTGGTTGATACCTTTTGACAACCTTACTAATAGAAAAAAAAAAGGGCAAGATGCTCTAGGAATGTGTTTTACTAATAATAATAACCAAATGCTTTTTATATGCCATGTCATTGTAAAGCTACAACTTAGAGTAGGCCTTACCTTCTATGAAATACAATTTCATGCTGTAACGACCCAATCTTGGCAAGGCAAAACCCCGCCAAGAGGGTGCGCCTCAAACGCTATAGCACCTTTACACCACAATTCCTGTATAATTCTTACATCACATCACCACATCACCAAAAGTGCATAAGACCTTTCAATTGCCCAACATATATGAGATGATCTATTCAAAGACAAAAAGTATTATCATGCTACAAGATAGTTCCGAAGCATTTCCTCCCCAAAAATAATGCATACTATTCACGAATCCATCAATACATCCAACTTCATAAGCAATTATTTACAATCAACCTTTTTCATAAAAAAAGAAGTTAAACTTACATCCTAGAATGACCCTAAGCAAAACCTCAACTACAAGATGCCCACCTTTGATCCTTCAAAAAAAATTCTAGTCTTCCAAGTTGAGGCGAGCCACACAAAAGTCTATGAATCTGAAAATATATATATATATATATATTTAAAAGAATGAGCTAAAGCCCAATGAGTATACCAATACCATGGAGTTATAAAAATTGCTCCTTCCAATTGGGTTCAAAATAAGGATAATAAACATAAGAGCTTAATTGGACTGAAATTTATACAAAATAAAAATAAAAATAATGAAAGTAAACAAAAATACAACTTTTCAATGCGTTAAGATTTCATGTCCATCATACGAACCACTACATAGCCTTAGGGTCGCGTTACCTCGCGACTTAGGTGGTGACGGTACTGTTACCCAAAACATAACCATAGGAACATAATTCATGTCAACGTAGCACTTCAATTCTCATTTCGATGTTTCGGTCCCCTGGACCCCTTATATATACAACGACCCATATGGTCCTTAAAACATTTCGGTCCCTATGACCCCAAAGCATTTTGGCCCTTGTGGCCCCAAAGGCTATATTTTGTTATATGATCAAAACAGAAAAAAAAATACCCTTGTACAACGTTTCATTGTCATTCAATCATCATCATAAAATTTGAAGGACTCAACTTAAATAAATTCTCATAAAAAAATTAGTGCTTCATTATACAAATGAAATCATATATTTATTTAAACTCAACAATTAGCCTCAATAGATTTATAGATTTATAGATTTTTCTTTTTATACATATATCATGATGAAATGTATCATTCACCTCCTTTAATTCAAAATTATCTTCAAACTTTGTAATAAAGATAGAGGTAAGGTAATTTCCATGGTAAGTATACTCACCTCCAAAAATAGTAAAAGCGTAGATTGAGACTCTACAAATTAATTCCCAAGAGGTGTGAAGACGCCTTCCTCCAATCCTAACAATTAATAAATAGGACCTAAAATTAGGAAAAAGCTTTCAATGAAAATTACAACATCTACAAAAATGATCCTAAATAAATTATGCTAAGGAATGACAAGCTAAAGAACTCCTCCAACTTCAAGTCACCCAAACAAATAACTTATCCAATCTCCACAACACCCATCCTTTGTACATCTTTGAGTTAGTAGCCTTTTAAATATCCAATCAATTTATATGCACAATACCACCATCAATTAACTACAAAAGTCAAAAATCAACATTTTTTATAAACTCAACAACTTAAGTAAAATCTCTTCAATCATTTATAAAATTCCTCCATAGAACATAGAGATATCCAATCCACCATTTATCAAATCAATTTCAACATATAAATTTCCTAACACCAAAATCCCCAATTTTTACATCACATTCAAACCCTAGATTAACCCAAAATCTTAGTCTCCAAAACAACCATCAAATTCATCATTTTTCAACATGTAAAGCATTCATAGAAACTAATTGAGAGTATAAAATTCAACAATCAAACCCCAAATCATAATAGATCTAAAATATAAAAAAATTTCATCATCTCTAACTCAAAATATGTAAAACCTTAAACTAAACTTTTAAAGAAAGATTCTTACCAATTACAAGCCTCTAATCCATCAAGAAAATAAACCTCATACTTTGATTCTTCAAAAGATTAAGAAAAATCTAGAGTTGGTACTTCTATTGTGCTATTTTCGGATGGATTTAAGGAGTGGCCGACCGGACCCTTTTTTTTTCGGCGAGATAAGGTGGGCGGCGGTGGTGGAGATGGTGGGTTAAGGTGGTGGTGTAAGGGTGGAGCAAGGGTGTGGTTTTTGGCCACGAAGAAAGTAGAGGAAAATGAGAGAGAAGTTAGAGAGGAAAGCATTAGAGAGGAAAGCATGAAGACAACGATGTAAACAAAAACAAAAAAAATCTGCACTTTTTTTTTTGGTGTTGAAATGGGATGTTTGGTCACACCTACTATCAAGTTTGGAGTTGGGTTAAGATATCCTAAATAGTGTTTGACATAGGAGTGTGTTTGGCTCTAGATGATTGTTGGGAATATTGTAATTCAACCCCCCTAAAGGAAATTTCGTCCATGAAATTTATTTATTTGTTTAGTCTAGTTCATACCATGAAAAAGATGTGGATATTGAATTTTCATATCATCCTCCCGCTCCCAAGTAGCTTCCTCCAAAGCATGATTTTTCCACAATACCTTTACTAGTGGTATAGCCTTGGAACATAGTACTTTGAAAACGAGCTCTCCAAGACAGATGTTGCTGGCAACCTGGAGATTCCTCCAGATGCACTATATCTGCCTGCTGCAGCAGAGAACACCAAAATCATGCATGTGTGGGACCACGGAAAGATTTGGCCTACCACCCTCAAATTGATGGACAATCCGAGCGCACCATTCTAATTTTGGAAGACATGTTAAGGGCTTGTGTGTTAGACTTCAAAGGGTCTTGGGAGAAGCATTTACCATTAGCCGAGTTTGCCTATAATTATAACTATCGAGCTAGCATTGAGATGGAATCTTTTGAAGCTCTTTACGGGCATCCTTATAGGTCACCGGTTTGTTGTGCCGAGATAAGGGATTCACCTATCACTACAACAAAAGTAACCTATGGTGACGAAAAGTAGTGAAGAAAATAAATTTTGTCACTAAATAAGAATAATTCATGACGAATTACAAAATTTTGTCACATATAATAGAAAAATAAAAATAATAGGTGACGAAATTTATTTTCGTCAATAAATACTTATTTTTAGGTGAGGAAAAAATAAGTTTCGTCACCGAAAGTTTTCCACTAATATTTTTTTGGTGGCGCCAAAATTTTGAGACTTTTGGTGAGAAAAAAATTTGTCACCAATTATAAAATTATTAGTGAGGAATATATTTTCGTCACTGTAACAAGCCCGCGGGGGACCTCGCCACAGCTCGGACTCGACTTTCGTAGTCACGGTTCTAAATCTGAACCAAAGAGTCCAAATCCGGCAAATCGTTTTGAGAAAAACTGATTTTTGAAAGAAGTGCCAAACATGGACTGCTTTGCCAGATACAGAGTCGCCACCTAAATATTTTATTTTGGGAAATTTAGGAAACCCTGACTCGGTGCCAAAAGGCCACGTGTCCGTCATCACCAAAGTTGCCTCGGCTCGGGAACTTGGGTACGATTGGGGAAGGTCACTTCGTGAGCACCCCCGCTCGCCCGGTCATAGACCGGCCTCTACTAATCATGATATCAATTTTTGAAAACATTGTGAATTCTTATTCCGGTTATTAGCCTAGGTTACTATGTGATGCTCACAGCATACAAGTATAGACTGGGTCACCCGAATTGGAACAAAACATTTCATGCTTGTTTTTGAAAGAGGGTTTGTTACCCGTAGGTAGGCTTTAAAACATTTAATGATTTACTCCAATTCAGATAACCCAGCCTTCACCCACAGGCATTCAGGTAGTTATATCATAGAAGCACATAGCCTCATGGTAAGCATGCTATTCATGGCAGTCACTCACACACATGCGAGGATGCTAAAGCATAAAACTTACCGAATACTCCAAGCCAAAATAGAAATTCATTAGAAATCATGCATGATCCTAATTATACATAAAATTTTCATACATAAAAATATAATTTGTTGTAGTCACTTCATTTTCAAAACAAATTCACTATTACTTTCTGTAACTTAAAAATTCCCTTGACATTTTATTCTAAATATTAGTATTTTTAAAAATTTTATTTATATACATATGTTAAAAAATATATAAATAAAAAATTGTATTGTGGATTCGGGTGTACGTACCGTCAGTTGCAGTTGGAAAATTGTAAGGTGGATCCTCCGTTACATTGCTTAAAACCCAGCTGTCGTGCATGCTGTCTTCCCACCCGCACGAGACAAACACGAAGCACATGTTAAAATCACAGACCGCCAAAATATTCTGGGTGTAACACCCCTTTCGGCTGAAATATGGGGCTGCTTCTGACTCCCTTATGCATGCTGGCACATGTGTCTCATCCAATGCACCTAAGCAATCATATATATTAATAAAATAAATGCAATGATAAGATTACTGACCATGTTCATACCGAGCATTTTCCAAAACATTACAAAATATTTTTCCACACCTTGAACGGCATATATTGTGGTTGAGATTGCAGATGGGGATGCATGTGCATTTGGAAATTAGCGGGAGGCCTGGAGTGCTCGACAATGAATTTCTTCATTACTTTCAAGACGGTATGAAAATGGCGTGAAATAGTTTCACCAAAATGTTGGAATCGTTCTTGTAACTCCCGGTTTGGCAAGTTTTTAAGCACATGAATGAATATTGCAACACTCTCCTCTACGTGCAAGCCGTGTGGACGCTCGGGTACACGCAACTGGAAGTCATTTACCAATGTCGTACATAACCGAATGAACACATGTTTGGGCATGCACAATTCGTATTGGAAGCGGCCACTGTGACCATTGTATAATTCCGTAATCCATGCCCTCCCTGACAATATGGAAGTGCGGCATGGGACTTTAAGAACGTACGCCTTGTAGTAGTCAGTGGCAATTCTGTAGGCTTCAACATATGCACAATTCATTTCATGCTGCCACTATATTGCGAGAGCTGCGACATCCTCTAACATTTGATTCATTTGTGCCATGTCTCAAAACATTACAAAATATTTTTCCACACCTTGAATGGCATATATTGTGGTTGAGATTGCAGATGGGGATGCATGTGCATCTGGAAATTAGCAGGAGGCCTGGAGTGAGCAACAATGAATTTTTTCATTACTTTCAAGACGGTATGAAAATGGCGTGAAATAGTTTCACCAAAATGTTGGAATCGTTCTTGTAACTCCCGGTTTGGCAAGTTTTTAAGCACATGAATGAATATTGCAACACTCTCCTCTGCGTGCAAGCCGTGCGTATGCTCGGGTACACGCAACTGGAAGTCATTTACCAATGTCGTACATAACCGAATGAACACATGTTTGGGCATGCACAATTCGTACTGGAAGCGGCCACTGTGACTATTGTATAATTCCGCAATCCATGCCCTCCCTGACAATATGGAAGTTCGGCATGGGACTTTAAGAACGTACGCCATGTAATAGTCAGTGGCAATTCTGTAGGCTTCAACATATGCACAATTCATTTCATGCTGCCACTATATTGCGAGAGCTGCAACATCCTCTAACATTTGATTCATTTGTGCCATGTCGTCATCGTCGTTGTTCATATCTACAACGATTACCACAAAACATTATCAACTAGTAGTGATGGCAGTATTAAGCACATGCTGGGAGCATGAAATTTCATATGAAAAATGTGAATGTAAGGCAAATTTTGTAAATAATGAACTTTTATGTTGAAACCCCTACCAATCATGTTGTACCAAAAAATGTCATAAATCACAAACAATTACAAACGTGTCTTAAACCAACATGCATTTTTCATAATTTTAATCATTTCATAATTTCATTACTTTTAATAAATAATTAATTTCATAAGTGCAACACACAGAAACCACATTGTACATATTTTAATGGAATACCACATTGTACATAATTTGACATGAACAACCTGTGCAAACACATTGCAAATCCGAAAAATGGCGTAAAAATGGATTACCACATTTACTCCAACCCTGCAACATTCATAGCATAACAAAACAAAATGTAAAGCCAAACATATCACAAGTCAAGTTAAGGACAACGGGTCCACAGCCATGACCCCTGCCCAATCCATTGTCAAACCACAATTCAATTGAAATGAAACACGAGAAAAAAAAACAGTTCACAATTCAACTGAAATTAAACAAATTTCAGAGTTGTTTCCCGGGCGGATTTAAAACCGAATTCCTTCATTGCGCAGCAGACTCACAAGAGTGATACCCCGATTCCTTTCTTTGTCTTGTTTCTTCGCTTGTAGCCACCCGATTATGCCTTGGTCCGTGGGAATACTCATAACCATTTTCCGATTGTTCGGAACCTCCATGAGCATGACTCCAAAATGGAGAAGTGGATCGGCGGGGTCTAGTCCCTGTATTTCATACAGCTGTCCAACAGCCTAGCCCATAGTGTAACTGTGCCCCTCGACAACATGGTTGATAGTTAGTTCCTTGCTCTGAGTCTTCACAGAATTTACCAAGTCGTCCATACTGCTTGCCAACGCTGCAGCCCCGGTAATGCGCTTGTTTTGCAATGTTTTGGCCGAGAAATGCTTCCGCTTGCTTCCACTACCCGTGGCATTGATGTTGGCGGAGTTCATCATGTCAACCATTTCCGATACGCCTAATTCATTGCTATCACTGGAAAATTCTGGACTGTCGGACTCTCTGTCCAACTCCATTGGGTTACGAGTCTCGCTGGGTGCCCATACATTTTTTCCCGTAGCCACAGCGCCAGTGAAGACACGCTCCATCAAATCCGGATGGTCCAAGGTTTTGGTTCTGAATTTGCAATATGCATTGTCAATCTGTAAATCAACACAATGTAAATAGCATTATTGTATTGACATGGAATAAATTCAATTCCAGTTGGTGCAAAAATAGCAAAATTAAAATCTGAATAGAGAATGAAATGCTAAAATATTGAACGAGGTAAAGTATGCTACACTGAACAAATCAATGCAACTGTGTTGGTAAGACAAACAAGTTCCTGCTTTCAGTTTTGCATCTGGTACACTGAACAAATCTGTTATGCTACACTGAACAAATCAATTTTGCATCTGGTAAGACAAACAACTGTGTTGGTAAGACAAACTAAGTTGGTTATTGTTTGGATTGGTCAGTTGGAATCTAGCAATCAGTTGGATTGGTCAGTTGGAATCTAGCAATCAACTGTGTTGGTAAGACGTACAGATCATAATGCAACAAACTTTATTAGAGTTACGGAATTGATCCATGCCAATTTTAGTTAGTGTTAGAAGCATAGAACATTTTCACACGTTAGATTGATTCTGTACTACTTCTGTTCAATCTAGCAGTCACTGCATTTGAGCCCCAAGCTCAAATTATCACCATTTTTTTCTTTTTTTTAAGCAACATTGTCATATGAGCTAGCCAATAACTCATATGTTCCAGAGCTTGCTGGTCTAACAGCATGCATTAAACTATAACTAAGATAATACTATACAGGATGGGAGCTTTTGTTTGTCTCATCTCAACAACTAATTTTGATCTCAGATTTCTACAAACTATGATCAACAAAAACATGTTATTTTAGGTATTTTAGGAGCACTCACTGCATTCTAATAACAAAAACATGTTATGATCAACAAAAACATGTTATTTTGATCTTAGATTTTAGGTATTTTAGGAGCACTCATTGATTTTGATCTCAGATTTCTACAAACTATGATCTCAGATTTCTCCTAAATAGGTATTTTAGGAGCACTCACTGCATTCCAATTTCCACCTACCAAGCCACTATGCTGCCACTAGATGATCCATTTGTACTTAGACTTGGGGTTCCTTAATTTCTTTTCATCTTTCCTTTAATTTTCAAAAAAATAAAAAGTTTGGACTTGAATCCTATTTTTTAAAAGTTTTTTTTCCATTAAGGTACCCATACCATTACCTAAATCCTAGCTACATAGGTTACTCCCAATCATTTGAAATAGTTGAATTGATCTTTATCCAATATAAGCCTTACTGTTTTGGTGTCCTGCTCACTTACGATTAAGAGGATAACATCATATATTAAGCTTTGTGTTAGTGCTTCTACTCAACCTACCCTCCTTCCCCAATTCAGGCCAAGCTCTCACGTCATCACCAGACCTCACTCTCATAAATCAAGGAACATTGCCACATAAGCAACTCAACTATGCAATATCATGTCTGGTGTTGCCATAACATAGTCAACACCAGTTGCATTGATGTTTACTTGACCACAATTTCTCAACCAAATCTGTAAGACAACCACATATGGGTTGTGTAATGAAGATGTTAGATGTATTTCACAATGAAGTTAATTGTTAACATGCATTTGACAACCTTTGAAGAAAGTATAATAGCTACAAATTGAAATGTAATATTTGTTAGCTCAAAAAAAGTATAACAGCAAAGCATTTAGGTAAAAATACACAAGTGTTTTGACAAATAAATGTTGTTCACCTTTTTTGACCATCCCAAAAATATTTCGTAATCCTGGCCACACCATCCCAAATTCTTTAAAGTTGTAAACATACGACGTTTTAAACTACATAGGAAAGCATGGTATACATACAAAAATTGAGATATTAGTTCTGTAATAATGGACAGGGAAAACAAAATGTAAAGTGTTACATTCTCCATTTTAGCCCACCAATCAGCCGACGTAGTGAACAACCCAGTAACTTGGTCAAAGCCAATTCCAGTTGGGCATTTCCGACAATCCATTAGCTTACACCACGCACGCCACTCACTCTTCAATAAATTGTACTTGTTTTTAAGTTGTTTCAGTGAATGCAGCCGCCCAGTTGCTGCCTCAAATGTCTTAGACCACGAACGGTACCCGTTCGGAGTGATTGACATGTGTGGCCGGTTTCCTGCTTCAATTTCCTTCACGACCAGTTCCAAGAAAATCTGTGTCGACTCCCCATCCCAAGTTGCTTTATGATAGGGTTGTTGTCATTTCCCTTTGCCAGAAGGGGTACGCAGCGCAGATCGATGTGACACCATGCGACTATAACAACAACGTGTAACGGGAACCAACGTAAAAATATTTATACACTCACAATACAAGCATTAGCAATATCACGAACACCTTTTATGTCAGAAATGTGGTATTTGAAACAAAACATAGCGCAATAGATTCATTTAACGACATTAGTATTTGAAACCAAAACTAACGGTTGCGGAAATATATAACAAATACATGTTTACGAACAAAACATAATTTAATAATTTTTTTTGGGCCACAAAACATAATACCTTTAATAACAATAGGGTAAGGTCACAGCACGGTTACATATATCACATCCAAAACAACAAAATAATGACAACGATGCACAGCACACGTCACTACTGTAAGCACACGCGAAGTTTGTTCAATATCACTGAAACGACCCTCAAAACGAGCGACATTCTCTGTGTCATTCTCAGCAGCCCTTTGGCGCCCATATTCGTCACACCACCCAATCCAACTGACACATGGCTGAGGTTAAAAAATATATTAGTGACGGTTTCAGAAGGAAATGTAAAAGCAAACGTGCTTGTACTCACCACTCCACGAGGGCATTGGTAGTACGCACGACCAGGGTTTCTTGCAGAACGAGAAATCTTTACAACACAGTGTCCGTAGCCACAAGCACACATACAACCTGGTTGTGTTGATGTGGCAGCTGACATAAACGAGGCCATGGTTTCTTTCGTGACTTGTTTCAGGACATGACAAGCACAACAAGAATAGGTGAATGGGTGTGACACTTTTGTTATGGACATAATTTTCTTGTGGTAACTTTTCCCCAAAAAAACAAATTATCCACTTTTAAGTAAAAAAAAAAAACAACCCCCCCCCCCCACAGAACATTTAAATCCCGGAATACCATAGAAAAATTAGAAAAAGATAATGTCAAAACAAAATACATTTGGGATGCTCCTTGAAGATTGACAGTGTATAAAATTGGAAAAAGATAATGTCACAA